TGGGAGTTGAAATCCTCCCATCTTAAAGCATGCTGGGGAATTCTGGGAGCGAAGTCCTCCCATCTTAAAGCATGCTGGCTGGGGAATTCTGGGCGTGAAGTCCTCCCATCTTAAAGCATGCTGGCTGGGGAATTCTGGGAGTCGAAGTCCTCCCATCTTAACTGCCAAAGTTAAAAAAAACAACAACACTGTTTTAAATAAATGCATGTGTGCACATGCTCATATAAGAGACATAAATATGTATGTAATTACAACCTACTCTGAATGATGCATGCTGGCGTAGAAGGCCGAGATACATGTACATGCATAAACAGCCCTTTCTTGCAGCCAAAGGAAACATATTATGGATTGCATACATTGCACACACCTACACTCATGACTAACTTTGGAGGATCTCAAAAAGCTAAGCAGGGTTGGGCCAGGTTTGTATCTGGATGGGAGATGCCTTGGAACCCCCAGGCAGAAGGCTAGGATGGGAAGTGGAAAAACCTTCCTGGATAAATACAAAGTGGAGCCATTGCCACGGTCTAGTCAAGGAAACGACAGGGCTGTGTCCATCAAACCACCCCGAGGTCCTCCCACCTGGATTCAGGTACCTAAAATATTATTTTTGTTATGTGAGATTTTTATCTGGGAAGTCAAATCCGCCTCAACTGGTCTGAAATAGTCATTACACTGCAAGGGGGTTGTAAGCACAAGTCCCTGTTTTAAACAAGGATGCCAAATTTTGCAGTTTTCCATGCGAACAGAGACAACCTTTGACTTCAGTTTAGATATATGGTAATACTTCTGGATCCCGTTGGAACAGTGTCCACATATCTTAAAGTTGCCAAGGTTGAGAAACATTGCTTTGAAGGGTTATGAAAAAGTTGGCTTGGCCTCAGATGCACTTCTAGCTTGCCACAGACTGGAGTCATGCATCACACTCCTGTAATGGGATTTTTCATTGTTTTTCCCCTAGGATATTCTCTGTGCCCAGCATTGTGGTTTGCCAACCATATTTTAACCCATCCAGCTGTGGTCTATCGATTGCTGGAGCTATAGTGGTCTAGCAGTTAAGGTGTTGGACCAGGAGCATGGAAATCAGATTCTAGTCCATCCACAGCCACAGAAGCCCCCCGGAAGACTTTGGGTCAGTCACTTTCTCCTAACCCAACCTACCTCGCAGGGTTGTTGTTTAACGACAAATAGGAGAAGGAAGCACCATATAACCCGTCTTGTGCTCCTGCACAAAAGATGGGACATAAATCGAATAAATATTCAGCAAACCACAACAAAGCAAACTTAGAATAGTAACTGCAGGGTGGGAGTAAAATACTCTCTTCTCCAGCCTGTAAGAAAGAAAAGTTGATAAATAGTGCTAGGGGTTTTTATTTTCGCTACGTTAAAAAAGTATGGATTTTTTTTCATTCGTTTTTTCTAATTTTCCATGAAATTAGATTGGTGTAAAAAGTCTTGGTTACTCCGGCTACCATGTTTCCATTTGTAGTTTCTATATCGTTTTTGTGAACTGGTTTATTAGCTGCCTAGAGTGATGTGTTTAGGATGGGCGGCTGTTTAAACTTTCTAGGAAAATAAATATAATGTAGCCACTCTGTGTAAAAATTTCTGGCCGTAATCCAAACGTAAAGCCATTCCGTGCTCCAGAATGATAAAAAACACATTCTCTTCCTCAAATGTTTTTGCAGCGGTTGGAAGTAAAATATAAATTCCTGCTTCAAACGCTAAGGCCGTCTCTGTGCTCAACATTGCTCATGCATTTTCAAAATACTTGTGCAAATATGCACAATTAACAATATTCTAGATAAGCAGTAACAGTTGGATGGAATCAGAGGATTTTTTTGGGTGGATCTGTCTCCAGCTAAGCTTCTTACCCTGGTTAAAAATGTAGCGGTTTGTTCCTGTTAGTAATAGTAGTAAATCTATTTACACCCTGCTTTTCAGCAAAGAGGTCTCTTTCCCATCACCTGCTAAAAGATCCTTTTCACTGAAGAAATTATGAATTGCACTTCCTTCTGCCACATCTCCAGCATTTTAATGGGAATAGATGTTTCTGCTTCTCCAGAACGCTTTCTGGCTCCTGCAGTACAGATGAGTTATGCTTTAACTAGCTCTTCAACTAGTTCTTCTGCTACTGCACTGCAGAAACAGCATGGTTAGACTCAAATGATTTGATTTAGCGCCTTAATCTCCACCCTTGCTTCGCCATTTGTATTTTCGGAGAAAAAGCTCGCTTAATGCCAGCCCTGGATTAACCATTAAGCAAACTAAGCTTCTGTTTAGGGCACCAAGGGAAGAGGGGGGACACCCCCAAGTTTTTTCTCCCGACGATTATGCCCTTAACTCTTTCACTGCCACGCTCAGCTTTAGTTGAATTTTTTTATAATTGGCCTCCTCTGCCAGGTTTGACTTTCATCTGCATTGTTAAAAAAATGGTTTTCGTCAGCACGGGGAATGGCTGAAGTTTAAAAGTTTGGTTTGAAGGTGTTGGTCAGAAATCCCATTCGTTTCTGTCTCATGGCATGAGATTTTTGCTTCCGTGGAGGGGCAACCGTTGGTGGGTTGTGCTCGGGGCATCCGTTGGCCTTAATCCAGTGCTGCTGAACCCCTTAAGTAAATTAGGGAAAGAGTGTGTGGAGCAGAGAGGAAAATAACTCTGTAAAGCAGTGTTTCTCAACCTTGGCAACTTTAAGACGGGTGGACTTCAACTCCCAGAATTCCCCAGCCAGCAAGTTGCCAAGGTTGAGAAGCACTGCTGTAAAGTATAGGAGTGAAATCTGCTTGGAAAGATTAATATTTTCTTGTGATACTTTCCCAAGAGCCAACTGTGATGATGCTATGAATGCAGGCATTTAGCCAGAATATTTTGGGTGGAGTGTCTGGTTCAGTAGCTGTGACGAGGGGTTGAATCTAGCATGAGTGGAACAAAAATTGAGTCAGGCCAAAAAAAGGGAGAGAGAGAGGGAGAGAGAGAGAGAAATCTGTACTTTATTTGGAAATAAATGCATTTAAGAGTCAGGGAGTCATTCAAGAGGGCACTAGGATAACCCTGCTCAGCTGAGAAAGGGAGATTTTTCTCCCTAGCTGGCCTACCTCACAGGGCTGTCCTGAGGATTACAGAACTCTTGGCACCCTACTGTGGACAAGCAGGTCTGCTCCAGCATCCATAAGCTTCAGCCAGTTTGCTAGCCCCCGTGGGCTGATCTCAAAGAAGCCAAATGGGATCGGAACTGGTTAGGGTTGGGATGGGAGACCACAGGGAAATCCTGGGACTTAGATGGGGAATTAAAAGAAACCTCGGAAGGTGTCTTGGGAAAACTACGCCTGCCGCACGAGCAAGAAACCTCTGCTATTACAACATCCTGACAAATGGCCATCCAGCCTCTGTTTTAAACCCCTCCGGTGAAGGAACACCCCCACCTCCTGCGAAATCCATTCCCCTGTTGAGTCGTTCTTACTGTTAGGAAATTCTTCTTGATACCCTACAGAAACG